TGGAGCAAAGCAGCTCATTTTTTGAAGGGGGTGATGGTTAATGCAGAGGCTTGTAGCTGGTCTTACCGAGAACATGCGATTGACAAGTGCTCAGCCTTAAACTGGCCATCTACATCAACCTCTGCCTCCTTCCTGCTGCCAAGGCCTGGGGAACATCAGAAAAGATGTGGCTAGAATGAAAATGGCCCCCATAGGCTCATAGGAAGTAGCATTATTTCAAAGGATTAGGACAAATGGCCTTGTTGGAGTAGGTGGCCTAATTGGAGTAGTGTATCACTGGGAATGGGCTCTGAGGTTTCGGCTCAAGCTAGGCCCAGTGTCACTGTCTTCCTGCTGCCTACCAATCCAGATGTATAGCTCTCAGCTACCTCTCCAGCGCCATGTCTGCTTGCCTGCATGCTGCCATCTTTCCTGCTGTGACAAATCTCTGAACTGTAAGCCAGCAAAATTGTCTTCCTTTATTATTTATGTTTTCGAGACAGGGTTTCTCTGTGTAGCTTTGGCTGTCCTGGACTCACGTTGCAGAGCAGGCTAGTTTTGAATTCACAGTGATCCACTTGCCACTGCCTCCTGTGTGCTAGGATTAAAGGTATGTACCATCACCCAGTTAATATTTTCTAAGGAAGTACTATAGGTCATAAAACCGGGTTGATTAGAAATTATAGGAGAAAAGCATAGTGGCATTAAATATTCTTATAATAGTCAATCTGTCTAATTCCACAATACTTTGTCAACATTAAAAAAAAAAATCCATGCTGGGGCTGAGCACAGTGATACACGCCTATAATTCCAGCATTCAGGGAGGCAGAGGCAGGCGGATTGCTGGGTGTTCGAGGCCAGCCTTGTCTACAAAGTGAGTCCAGGACACCCAGGGCTACATAGAGAGACCCTCTCTTAGGGGGGGAAAGTCCAGTCTGATGGAAGAAGGGAGAGACATTTTCTTCAGTGATTTAGCCACTGGGAAGGTGTTCATGCACCTGCAACAACACTAAGGTAATTCACTGAATCCTTGAAAGTGGAAGGACAGCAGGAGACTAGAGGGTACCTTGTGAGGATGCACACGCATTGCATGTTGTAGGAAAATAATGGTAATTAATACATACTAAATGGGAAGAAATTGACTGAGTTAGGCACAGTGGGTTACACTTGTAATCCCAGCACTCCCAAGGTCATGGCAGAACCTCAGTGAGTTCCGGGCCCACAGAGTGTGACCTTATTTCAGAACAGCGGGAAAAGAACAGGTAAGTGCATGTTTTACAGCATGGGCATCTCTGAGGCACACAGGCACAGATACACATACATATGCATGTATGTGGGTGGGGTTCCTTTCCCACCCGGTGCTAGGGATGGACCTCAGAGCCTCGTATGTGCTAGACAACTGCCAGCCAACCCCGAGCTACACTCTGGATCTATAACTTAGCCACATAGTAATCTCAGTTGCTCCCGTTTTTTAAAATGTTCTTTGAATTATGGGTCTGGGTATGTGTACATGAGTGCAGGTGCCCGTGGAGGTTGTGCTCTCTTCCCTAAGATGGCTGTATTCTTCCTGCCTTTACTGGAGAGAGGAAAGCGGGAATTTCTACATCTGAATGGAATGTGTTTAGCAGGGAAGGAAATGAGATTACAGCAAGAAACAGAAGGGGATTGTGAGATAAAGGAAAATGCCCTAACTGCTTGTGATGCTCGGATGTGGCACTTGACATCCCAGTTGCCTTCCTTATAGGCTCCACCCAACACACCCTTGTTCAGACCTCCTGGAAACCTAAGCTAAGAGAATGTGTTAGGACTGCTAGGATTCAAGGGTCTCACATAGGACAGGACAGGGTTTCTTCTGCCTCAGCAACTGAATAGGGATTTCTCCTGGCCAGTCTGTTACAGTATCCAGAAAGTATATCCACATGAGCTTTAAGTGTGGGCCAGCTGGGTGTGGTGGTACAAACCAGTGATTCCGGCACTTGGGAAACTGAGGCAGGAGAATCAAAGTTAGCCAGAATCCTGACCAATCTTTACAGTATCTAGAACAGTTGCTTCTCAACGCATGGGTCTCAAGCCCTTTGAGGATTCAAACAACCCTTTCACAGGAGTCACCTAAGACCATCAGAAAACACAGATATTTGCATTACAAATTCTAACTAGCAAGATTACACTAAGGAGTAGCAGTGAAATACTTTTACGGTTGGGGGTCAGCACAACATGAGGAGCTGTATTAAAGGGTCACAGCGTTCAGAAGGTTGAGAAGCACTGGGCTAAAAGTAGTGCAGGTAGCTGGATACGGTAGTGAAAACCAGTGATTCCAGCACTTGGGAGGCTGAGGCAGGAGAATCAGGAGTTCAATGTTAGCCTGAGTTACATACCAAGACCCTATCTCATTGGGGTGAGGGTTGTTAAGCAATAGCTAGCTGAGAAACAAATTCTGAATAAAGGAAGCTTTATTTTCCTCCCTGGTCCAAAGTAACTGTTTTCAGACCTCATAAAGTACAGCCACCCAGTCCCAAATGCACTGGGCAAATAAAATAGAAAGTGAGGTCCAGGAGGCTTCTGGAAGTCTGGATTGTCCACTCCAGCACATGTTCTCCACCAAGGAAAGAGCAGGTCAGGGCCACAGGCAGCAGATGGAGCGTCTGAAAACTTGCACTGGAGCCTACTGTGGGTGGAAGGGTTTAAAAAAAAAAACAAAAACTGTCATGGCCCAGGGCATGACAGTTACAGAGAGGAAGCAGATAAGCTGAAGTGAGTACAGGACAGAACCCAGGGTCTCCAGCTCCCACTGCCTGAGCTGTCCCGCTCACATGTCATACCACACACAGTGTTTAGACAGGCCAGAGAAGAAACAGACATCCTGAATCTCTGGGGAGGGAGGCTGGGAACAGAAAACAGGCTGTTTATTCCTGGCAGCCCTGTATCGGAGGGGTCTTGCACCACTTTAGTTCAGCCCCAGGCTGAACTCTCCCAGAGCCTGACTCATGCCCCACTGCCACTGCGTGGGTCTGAGACTGTGTGCTGGCGTCCTGGAGGATGGATTTAAGGCTGCTCTGCTTAGTCTCCCAGTACAAGCCCCACCTCTCCAGGCCCCTGGAATGTGTGCCAGAGGGCAGGAGGGCAAACAGTGCCAGAATCCTCAATCCTCTGGCCTTTGAGGCTGCATCTCTCCAAAGGCACTGTAGTCCACTTGCTCTGTGAGGAGGTTGCTCTCATCTCAATTCCAGCTTTCTTGCTGCAACCCCATCCTGTTTCAGTCCTTAGGGAGTTTGGCTGGGCTCCTCTCCTGCCTTCACTCTAAAGCTGCACTTGATACCGGTAGAATCGAACATGGAACTCTTGGCTTCCACCCTGCAAACTTGCCCTTCTCTCACTGTACCTAGGTTTCTCAGTTTTCCTGAGGAGCAGAAATGCCATCCATTTGATTTCCTGGGCTCCCTACCTTCCTTTCCTCGGGGGAGTACTTGTTTGAAGGGGACAGCTGCAAAGAGCAGAAATCCTAAGGATGTGAGCATTAACTGTAATCAAGTACTGGAGAGCCAGGGGCTGGTCTAGTCACCGTCTTTGCCGGAGGGGGAGTCCCTTTTTTCTTTTGTCTGTTTGGTTGCTTTTGTTGGTTTGAAACAAGGTCTCACTATGTTTCTGAAGCGGCTGCAACTTACTGCAACCTTCATGTGCCAGCACCCAAGCCCGAACCCGGCTTAGGTAAGTACAATTTTAAGCTTTACTATGCACATAAAAAAAGAGTTGAGCCAGGCATGAAGACACACACCTTTAATCCCATCACTCAAGGAGGCAAAGGATTTCTGTGAGTTCGAGGCCAGACTGGTTTACAAAGCCAGTCCAGGACAGCCAAGGCTACACAGAGAAACCCTGTCTTGGAAAAAAAAAAAAAAAAAAAAAAAAGAAGTAGGACCACCGCCAGCCCTGTCATGCCAACCAATCACACTATATGTCTCTAAGCTGCCATGGAGGACAAACCAGTCATTTGTTGAGTTGACCTCCCTTCAAGCATTGTGGTATCCACAGATGCCTATCACATTCCCCACAGGTCACTTTTCCTTTTGGGGAAGACTGACAGTATTGAAAGAGTCTCAAAGTCACTGATCCCCCTGCCTCAGCCTCCAAAATGTCGGGATCATAACCGTGAACCTCTATACCAGATACACTTGTGCCGTGTGCACAACCCAAAACTTAACCCAGAAAGCAGTTGAGGATTTGCTATGCAGTTCAGTTGACAAAATACGAACCTAACATGAATGAATCCTGAGTTCTATAACCTGCCTGTAATGTGGTGAATGTAAGACCATCAGACAGAGTGACACAAAGCTATAACCCTAGTATAGGTAGAGGCAAAAGGATCAGAAGTTCAAGGTGATACTCCACTACTTAGGAGTTCAAGGACAGCCTGGGTATTCTGAGACCCTGTCTTACGACATTGGAAAAGTTAAGAGGTATATAGGATGAACTCAGGCTCAGGAAAACAAGGCAGGATTTCTAAGCTAAAAGGCTCTCTAATGATGGGGATCAGTGAAGATTCTCAGGCCCCAAACCCTAGCCACCATCCCCCATCTTGCATGCACATTGTCCTTTGGTGTGTCAGCAGAAGGATCTAGCTGGTTGCGCACTGCTGACCGGCCATCTGGGGTTTAAGATACCTAAAACAGCTCTACCAGCAGGAGGGGAACTGTGCTGTAGATCAAACATTATTCATCAGCTAGAACGTATTTCCAAGATGAGCCTGGCAATGACAGCAAGAGGGTTCTCAGTGGTAAGGAAATGCCACCTAGGTTTCATGATGTGGCAGACTGCTAGGGAAGGGTTCACTTACACAGGAGGGGAGGCCTCTCAGTAAAAGCAGTCAGGATGTGCCAAGTCCCACCCCAGAGGAGGAGTCCAGGCTTCAGGAACCCAGGCCAGGGCAGAGTCTGAGCAGGCAAGCCTGGTTCTTGCTGCTCCCGGCATAGAAGCACCATGCACTCATTGGCCAGGACACCCAGCATGGCCCGAAGACCTGTAAGAGTGGTTGCTGTGACTCTCTGATCCTCAGCTGAAGGGCTGGCAAACACCACCTGCTCCTAATAGCCATGTGAGTACACACCAACCAGCTCTGCTCCTGCACTAGCTCAAGCCTCTGGAGTATCCAGGAGCCGTGGTTCACACACCACCGGGACCTTACCCCTGCATGTCATTCATCTCTACCCTTTTTGCTACTCTGAGGGAGGCTGGGGTGGAAACTAGCTCAGGCCAGGTCTCAGTAGTTTAATAAAAGTAGACGGTGTAGGGAGGAAAGGGAACAAACTAGGAGGGGCGACAGGCTGTGGGAGATGGAAGAATAGGGCCAAGGGAGGGGAAAGCATCAGGAGTGCAGTTTGGGAACTGTTGAGAAGGAAGGAGCGCATCTCACAGCCTAAGGTAATCACACAGCTGATGCAGGCCCTGGGAGAGGCCAGAGGAGCCCAGGTGGAATCCTTCCATATTGACTTTGATCCTAGCAACGGGGCAGATGCTCCCATTGACGAGATCCAGGAACCCTCCCTCCCACTGACCCTCCAATGTGACCTGCGCCTGAGATCAGGCAGCCAAGTTGAAAGCAAGCTAGTGAGTCAGTTTGGAGGCTTCTCCTTGTCCCGGGTTCAGCCTGTGTTTAGAGGTGAGGGGTTTCTATCTTTGTTCTTAGCACACACACACCCCAATTCCCTGCCAAGTATCTCCCCCACCCTTCCCTCCAGTTCCCAGGAAGGGCCTGTTGCTAGTGTGGAGCGGATGAGTTAAGTTTATGGGCTGGAAGTCCTACCGGGAGGCTGTTTATTGAACTATAACCAGCTCCAAGTGTAGACCCGGTAGGAGTGCCCTCTGTGACTTCCCAGGCCTTTGGGAACCTCTCACCCAAGTGGCTGGCCAGCCACTGTCCTCTCTAGGCACCCTGACATGGGCAGGCAAAAGTTGACAAATGCTTTGGGTAGGTTGCCTTCTGGTCTAAATGGTCATAAACACAGCTGCCCAGGGGCTGTCTGTTGGGCACTGTGGTTCTTGCCTGAAGGGCAGCCTCTTCTAAGATACGGCATGGGATATGTATGTTGCCAGACTGATTTTCCAAGAGAAACCAAAAGCGTGACTTCTCTGTAATTTTTTAAGTTGGCAACAGAGAACATCTGTCAGCAGGCCCATAGTCTGAGGCTGTAGCCTCTGTTAACATGTGTCCCCACCAGAACATGACTGCAGCGCCAACCTAACTCTGGCCACTCCTCCATCCAGGCATGCCGGCTGTAGCTCCAGGCCTTCCATGTGCCAAGACCCATGATGACACACAACAACACTGGAGAGGTGGCCAGCTCCATTCCCATGGGGGTTTTGGGGCTTTCCCTGGCCCTGGCAAGCCTCATCGTCATCGCCAACCTACTCCTGGCCCTAGGCATCGCCCTGGACCGACACCTGCGCAGCCCACCTGCTGGCTGCTTCTTCCTAAGCCTACTGCTAGCCGGGCTACTCACTGGGCTGGCACTGCCAGTGCTGCCTGGGCTGTGGAGCAGGAGCCATCGGGGCTACTGGTCCTGCCTTCTTCTCCACTCGGCCCCCAACTTCTCTTTCCTCTCCCTGCTCGCCAATCTGCTGCTGGTGCACGGGGAGCGCTACATGGCCGTGCTGCAGCCTCTCCGGCCCCATGGCAGTGTGCGGCTAGCCCTGCTCCTCACCTGGGTCGGCCCCCTGCTCTTTGCCAGCCTGCCTGTTCTGGGCTGGAACCACTGGAGCCCTGGTGCCAACTGCAGCTCCCAAGCCGTCTTCCCGGCCCCCTACCTCTACCTCGAAGTCTATGGGCTCCTGCTGCCTGCAGTGGGGGCGGCTGCCCTTCTCTCTGTCCGCGTGCTGGCCACCGCCCACCACCAACTGCAGGATATCCGACGACTGGAGCGGGCCGTGTGCCGTGATGCGCCCTCCACCCTGGCCAGGGCTCTCACCTGGAGGCAGGCTAGGGCACAGGCAGGAGCCATGCTGCTCTTTTTGCTGTGTTGGGGGCCCTATGTTGCCACACTGCTCCTGTCAGTCTTGGCCTATGAGCGCCGTCCACCGCTAGGGCCTGGAACTCTGCTATCTCTCATCTCACTGGGCAGCACCAGCGCTGCAGCTGTGCCGGTGGCCATGGGCCTGGGTGATCAGCGCTACACGGCCCCCTGGAGGGCAGGGGCCCAAAGGTGGCTACGAGTGCTTCGAGGAAGAGCCAAGAGGGACAGTCCAGGCCCCAGCACTGCCTACCACACCAGCAGCCAAAGCAGCACTGACCTGGACTTGAATTAAGGAATGCCTCCCAGGAGCCTTCATCCATCTCACATGCCCACTTCTTTGGAGTAGAGCCCTTTCTCCGTAAGACCTCACCCAGACCAAATAAATCTCTGGCCACCTTTGCAGGTTATCTTCTTCCCTATCTCAGGAAGTAGGAGGGACAAGTGGACTGCCCTAGAAGGACCCTGAGACAGACTGAGCACAAAGGGGGCTTCTCCCTCCAATGAGGCACTGTCTTCCTGTCCAGCCAGCACAAAATGCACACAGACACTGCCTCTGGGAAGTATATTTTATTTACATTTTTAAAATCTGTAACTAGTCTCTCTTCCTCCTTTCCTTCCCCAGAGACTTGGGAAGGGAAAGAACGGGAACCTCAAAGACCTACCCCCCACATACAAAGACGCACCCCATGGCTCACACCAGCAAATCAAAGTGAAAGAAACATGGGCCTCCTAAAAGGCCCTAGGGCTGGACAGGGGAGGGAGGGCCTGGCAAGGCGGGTCTCTAGAGAGGAAAAGGACAAGGAGTGGGCAGGTCAGCTGAAGGGGTTGGAAAACAGTCCAATAACACCCCTCCTCTTCCCTCTGCACCTCTGATGGGGGCAGGGGTGTCCCTTTATTCCTCCTCAACACCAGACACCATGCCAGAGGCTACAGCCGCTAGCGGTCGGGTCTCTGGACACAGAAGACTTTCGCTTTGTGGTCTCCTGATGTAGTCACCACCAGGGAAGCATCTCTGTAGACAGAAAACAGGGGTGAAAGGACGGAGGAACCTGAGGCACAGTTCAAGCCCATTCCCCAGGGTCCTGGGGCAGCTGTTTCAGCATGGCCTCTATTCTAGGTTCCTAACTGAATCTGCACCTAGTTCTCAGGCCCTTCCCTCAAAACCAGGGAGCTGATTCAACCATGCCCATGCAAACCACAAGAGAATCAATGAAGGAAACCCCTAATATGGGAGCAACACAGAGCTATACAACAGGTATTAGGTTTCATTTCTCTTAGGATCCCCTCCCATTCCCCAAAGGACCTGGACTACCTTACACCAGACATCTTTCTAGAGGTACCAGATCACTGTGCTTACTTGCTGAGGGCAAAGTCCAGGATCTCCGCGGTGTGGCCCCGGTAGTCGGTAAGCAGGCGGCCAGTCCGGGCATCCCAGAGACGCACAATGCCATCCAGGCTACAGGTGTATACCACAGCAGTGCCGGCCTCCCAAAGCAGCTGAACAATGCCCGACTGTCCCGGAATATGACACAGTAACAGAGTAGGGCAGAAGTCAGGAGGGAGAGAAGACCCCATCCCCACCCTCAGACAGAGGGAGGCACAGGGCCATGGAGAGCAGGCTGCCTCTTAGCCAGCACAACAGCCCACCGTGTCAGAACAAAGCCCCAGACACATACCTGGTGCTGACATTGGTGCCGGAGTGTCTGTGTGGACAGGTCATAGATAGCCAAGGTTCCATCCAGATAGCCGACAGCGGCCAGAGGCATCCTGGGAAGGTGACAGAAGGAAGGCTTTTGAGGCCCTAGATTTATGTACCTTCTCTCCTCCTTGGTGCCAATGTCTGGGTCCCTTCTCAAAGCCACCTCCCTCCTTCAGTCTTCCAGGCCAAGGCTCGGCTCAGACTCACACACTGCAGAAGCCCAAGGATTCCACAGAGTTAGACTCACTCTCCTCCCCCTCTCCCAGGCTGGGCTGGGAGGCAACTGTTTCGGGTCTGAACACACCCACCACCTATAGGTAAGAGAAGAGGCTTACAGACCTGGGCTCCAGGTCCCTTAACAAGAGGAAAAGGGCAGGGGAGGGACAGGAGGTTCAGACAGAAGCCCAAGCTACTTACCTTGCCGGTGGTGGCACTGACCAGTTTAGCCTGGCAATCCACAGAGCCAGTGAGGATTAGGCTGCCATCCTGGTTGGTGGCAACACAGGTCAAAGGGCCCTGGTGACCCTCAGTCCCTAGAACACAGCAGGGGTACACAGGCTCTGAGTCTTTACCTGACTCTCAGGCTCCTCCCACAAAGCCCACGTGAACACCCTCCCCTCTCCGGTACCTTTCAGTACATGGATGGGGTTTCCCTGCTTGAGGTCCCAAATCCTGATGGTACCATCTTCATATCCTACCACAGCTCTCTTCCCTAAGGACCAAGGCATGAATGACCAGAGCACAGAGGGTGCACTCTGACACACCAAGCAAAGAATGAGCAGGAAGAATAGAGGAGGGGCCCCCAAATTTCCCCAGGAGTCACAGGTAGCCTAGCATGTGGGGCAGCAGGAGGCTGGGATGACTGCAGTACCCCCAAGTCACTGGATCCACTTCTAACCCCTGCAAGAGACAGCTGCTCTCACCGTCAGGGAGGACACGGCCACAGGTTGCAGGGCAGTTAGGGCCCTGGAAGGTCTTACAGTCACCATTTGGTACCTTCCACATCCAAGTGTTGCCATCAGCTGTACCCGCCAACAGGACAGGGGCCCGGGGGTGCCACTCCATCCACTGCGCAGAGAGGGAGGATCAGCAAGCAAGGCCTGCTACCCAGCCTCCCTAAGAGCCCATGAACTGCACCCAAGGTGTCCCTGCTTCTGAGGTCAGCACAAACTTTACAGGTGAACACTGCGGAGCTAGGGGCGCTGTGGCTCGAGGCAAACTTCTCCAGTAGAGATATGCATATGCCGGCCTCTACTCCTCCCAGAAGCACCCTCCCTTACTTGAGGTCCCATAAGAGTTGAAGTCCACCACTCCAAGGATCTCACCTCCAGGTCTCCTGCTTCAAAGGACCAGACTTCTTCCTTGCTATCCACTTGCCAGACTTTCAAAAGACCACTCATGTCCCCTGTGGCCACTAGGGTGGAGTCATGGCTGAAACCAGCACATGTCACAGAGTCTTTATGGCCTGCAAAGAGAATTAGGCAGATTCTGAGGTCAAATTTGCCTGAGAGATATTGCAAGTTCAAGGCCAGCCTTGGCTACATCCAAGTCCAACCCAACTATATAACTTTAAAAAAAAAGAAAAAGTGGCAGAAAAAGAACATCAAAAGGCATCCAAATGCTGGGGACACATGACCTACGTATCTAGCAACCTTTTAAAAACAACTAACTAGGAAAAAAGGTAGAACTACGATTCTCAGCAGAACAAGAGAGCAACTCTCTGCAGCTCTAGAGAACAGAAACTCCAGGTTTCCCAAGAACAGATATGAGACCCCACTATCAACCAACCAGAGCCTCGGCCTCCTAAGCCGTACTTCAGTCTTCTCTGAGCCTCTTCCTACTCCTACACCAGTACCACCTCCTCCCATGCTCATCTCAGCCAGACTCCTTTGGCCAGTTAGTACTTTCTGCCCAAGTGCTTACAAAACAGTTAATTCTTCTACTGCGGGTTCCTGGATTCAACACAAGGCACGGGCAGTACACAGCTGCTGGGTGTTCACACAGGCCACCCGCCAAGACGTCCACAAGAACATAACCTCCCCAGCCTCTCACCTGCACACTCAAAGAGCAGCTCGCCATCACTGAGCCTCCACACAAAGGCTTTGTCATCCTCACCGCCTGTCACTGCCAAGGTGTTGGTTTTGGGGTCCAGGCTCACGCAAAACACAGATGCTACCCCAAGAGACAGCCCATGAGAAAGGGGATGGAAGTGTGCTCTCACCCAGAGGCCTGTCTTTTCAGGAACTTCAGGGAGGCACACCCCCTTCCCCCAAAGCCATTAAGTCTCTCCTGGAAAGAGTGCATCCAATTCTTGTCTGAAGCATCAGGTTGTTAGAAAAACTCTTCCCAAGCCCACACAACTCCCAGGTCCTACTCCAGAGCACATGCCCCTGCTGTTCTGTTCCCATACCACCCCACTCTAAGGTACAAGCCAAGAGGCGGGACCATGTGTACTGCTCACAGTACAGGAGAGAGCAGGCTGGCCATGAAGTGAGTGATGAGAGCTTCATGAGACTGGCTTACTAAGAGCTGGCATCTGAGAAGAGCACTGTTAATGCTCCTTTCGGAATGTAAACTGCTTTTAATTTCCACTTAAGTCACTTCCATTCACTCTCATCCAAAACAGGTTTAAAAAAAAAAAAAAAAAGAACTTCAAGATCCAGAAAGCCAACAAAGGTGATACACTGCTAAACAGCAGAGGCAGGATTTGAACCCAGGTGTCCCAAGCCATTTAATCCCATTGGCCCGTCCTATGAATTTCCTGCAGGCCAAGGTCAGTGGCTTTCCCATTTGTCTCCCATAATATCCTGTTCAGGGCCAACGGGCCATACTCAAAGGCCCATCTGCACTGATCTGAGTTGATCCCCTCAAAGGCCTACCTGAGTGCAATGCAAAGGTGACCTCACTATCATCAGGGCCCTCCATGCTACCGACCACCCCTTCCTGGGGTTCCAGGACCCAGCCCTCGTCATTGCCCTCTTCCTCTTCTTCCTCTTCCTCAAAGTCCACGTCTTCCATCTCCTGGGCGAGATCATCTGCTTTGGGAAAAGGGTTAAAAGATGGGTCTCGAAAGATATAGGAGGAATGGGGTAAGGGGTGAAGAGTGAATAGGGTGACGATAGAGTGGGTCATGTATCCAAAGATTAAGGTGTCGTCCCACACATACCGAGCAGGAAGAAAGCGCTTGGGGGGGCGGGGAGGGGGAGAGAGACTAGGTCTGAAGACCTGGCCTTGGCCAGCCACAGTGTGGGAAGAGAGGACAGAGGGCATGATGGGAAGGGGGTGTGTGAGGGGAAGGGCCAGGGGAGGCGTCAGGGAACCCCCACCCCGCCAGGCCTCGAAACTAAGTGTGGGGGGTAGGGAAGGAAGGCTGGAAAAGAAATGTCGGTAGGAACGACCGGTAGGCAAGGGGGGAGGGGGAGAAGCAGGGGTCAGAGGCCAGGGGTGAGCGCCTCCTGTCCCGTGGCCTCGGGAGCTACAGTTCTCACCCGGGTCCGGCGGGCCTGGATCCAGTTCTACCACCTCAATAATCTCCTCATCTCCGTGGAAGCTTAGCGTCTCCAGCGGCGGGGTGTCAGCGGCCGCTCCGCTCTCCGATTCGGACTCCATGCGGCGAAACCTACCGATCCACTTCTCTGGGCCCAAACGCCTCCCAGAGTCAGCTCTGCGCGACGACGCGGAACTCGAGCCCCTCCTCCCGGGAGGAAGTAGGCGTAGGTGACTCCCGGCCGAAAGACCGACGGCATCCAAGCCAATAGCGACGGAGGGAGACTGACTGAGCCGCCAATGACAAGGCAGAACTGGGATGACCAGGTCGGGGCGTGGCGGGAGACCCAAGCTCCTCCCTACATGACTCCGCCCCCAGCTGGAGAGAAACAAGCGAGCGTGCGCGCCTCCGGGGTCTCCTGGGAGGAGTAGTTCTCCCGGGCCCGCTACGCTGACTTCTGGGAAATGTAGTTTCTGATCTGTAGGCAGGACGGAAGGCGCGGGGGAGGCCCCTTACGCAAACTACAATTCCCGACGGGGAGCTCAGTGAAGGGGGGTGGGACCTGAACATGGCGGCGGTGGTAGCTGCTACAGCGCTGAAGGGCCGGGGGGCAAGAAATGCCCGCGTACTTCGGGGTAAGCAGAGGGACCCCCGGGAGGGCAGGGCTCTAAAAGATTCCATTCCCTTCACATCCCACCCGGCGCGACAGCAGGAAGTCAGGCTGCCAGTTGCTGCCCACACCTCTCTGCAGGATCTTAGAGAGTCTGGGGGTGAAAAGATGCTCGCTCTAGAGGTCACCCCGTCCAACCCCTGCGTTCAGGTTGCACGGCATGTCTAGGGTCTTGCTGCCAGAGTCCCAAAGAAGCCTTTAGACTCCCGCGTTCCAGGGGTTTCACACTCACCGCAGTGCAGAGGAAAGAGACCTGGGCTTCTGGAGGCTGGAGTTCTAGTACTGGGTAATTAGCGATTTGACCTTGTGCGAAGCAGCTCCTCTCTCGGGGCTTCAGTTTCCTCTTCGAGGGGATGGAGTTAGTTATCCTTAAGGATAGCTAAGGCCCTGCAGTTTTAAATCAGTTCCCCGAATTTCCTTCATACGTATGTCTCCGGTGAGTCCCTCTGCAGTCCTTCCCAACCTGTCTTCTGAATAGAGCAGCAGCGAAGCTCGCTGCTTTGGCACCAGGGTGAGGAGCCCGCAGTGACGTGGAAGTAGCTTCCAAAGGTGTCACCTCGATGGCGGCGGTTTTCTCGTTTCTCTTTAGATCCTTCACAGCACTTGCTACTCCAAATTGCAGTCACTCCCCTTCCTCAAATCTCAGCCCCTCCTCCCCTCCCTCATCTCCCATACTGACCAGCCGTACGTACTTTTATTCACAGGGATCCTCTCTGGAGCCACAGCTAACAAGGCTTCCCAGAACAGGACCAGAGCACTGCAGAGCCACAGCTCACCGGAGTGCAAGGAGGAGCCTGAGCCCCTCTCCCCTGAGCTGGAATACATTCCCAGAAAGAGAGGCAGGAACCCCATGAAAGCTGTGGGACTAGCCTGGTGAGTTCTAACTGCCCCTTTGCCTGCCAAGTCGGGAGTGCACTGAAGGGATGTTGGGACCTAGAAACTTCTCTTAAGTTGCAGGTGGTCCCCAAGGGAAGGGACTTGCTGGATTCAAGGGATGGAGTCTCAGAGGAGTGAGGCAGGGGGCGTGGAACAAAATGTAAAATTGGGGAGACAGTGGCTTTTCTGTGGAGCAAGCTGAGCTGAGCTGATTTAAATTTGGTTCGCTGGCTTCATCCTTTTGGGAGCTGGGGTAAGATTAAAATGGTGGTAGATTATGTTGCGTAGAAGCTAGAAGTGGTTCTGTGAGTTTATTTGGTTCAGATTCTGGCTAAGGTATGACAGTACTTTGCCCTATAGTGTTTTAAGCTTTCCATCTCACCAAGGAGGGAACTGAGGCTCCCAGCTGGGGTTCTCACCAGGTCTTGTGACTTCGTCCTCTTCGGCCCCTACCAAGGCCCTCTTTGAGTAGTAGTTACTCCGATTAATAGACTGTTGGTTGATGTACCTTAGTGGCTAAGCACATGCTTAACATTCCTGAAGCCCTGAGTTCTAGCCACAGCACCAAAAGGAAAAAAGAGGGGTCTGGGAAGGGACTGAGACAGTGTCACAGAGGGGACATTTTTGCTAGCTCAGAAAGAGCCTGGGCTTCTCAGGCGATCGCACATAAGCATTCAGCAGGAGTGAAGAGGCTATGAATATCAGCCACAAGAGGAGAAATGTTGAGGTAGGCAGGACATCACTGGGCCTTTAGTGCCATTGCCTAGGAGTTTGGAGTTGGCCAGAATGTAGTAGAGGGCTATTACAGTATGTTAAGCAGGCTGCAGCAGGATCTGGTTTATGGGGTCCCTCTGGCACCCTACCCAAAGAGCAGATATAAGAGGTATCACCACGTCATTTGTACAAGTGGCAAAGCTGGACTGATTCTTCCAGTTCCTCTGACTCAGTCCCAGCCCCTGCCCAAACCCCGTGCACATCTCCCCATCCTTAGGGCCATCGGCTTCCCCTGTGGTATCCTCTTCTTCGTCCTCACCAAGCAGGAAGTGGAGAAGGACCGTTTGAAGCAGATGAAGGCTCGGCAGAACATGCGGGTGTCCAACACGGGCGAGTATGAGAGCCAGAGGTTCAGGGCTTCCTCCCAGCAAGCCCAGCTCCCTGAAGTTGGGTCTGGGGTACAGACCTAAGTGAGGATCACTGCAACCTTGCCCTAGACTATTGACTGAAGTGCTAAGTGGCCAACTGTGGTCACTGCCCCTGAGGCCCACCAGAGGGCGCATGGTGTCCAAGCTGCCATCAGCACCCATCTCTTCTACAGAGGAACCAGCCAAATGGAAATAAAGTTATTAAGTACTGGCATAGAAAGGAAGCAAGGCTGAATTTGTAAGCCCTGGGGAGGGGGGGGGGGCAGAGTGGGGCTGGCTGTTCATCCCTATTCCCTCACAGAAGACCCGTGTCCCCAGTTGGGTGGTAAAGTAACCACAGACTTCAGTGCGACAAGCCTAGGTACAGGTCCTGGAGACCTAAGTCTTTAGAGCTACCAGTCAGGAGGGCAGCTTCTGATGCAGCTTCAACTAGTTACAGCCGGTCAGACATGAACATATTTAATCTAGGCACTCAGGAAGCAAAGGCAGATGGATCTCTGAGTTTGAGGCCAGGGTGGTCTATGTAGTTTCAAGACAGCCAGAGCAACATAGTAAAGAGACCTTGTCTCAAAAAACAAACAACAAACCAAAAGTAGCATTTAGGACATGGAAGAAAAGAAATTACAAAAACAAACAAACACCTAAATAATGTCAGCTTCTCTGGACCTCATTTTCCTCATTTATAAGAGAAACTAGATTCAAACCCCATGGTCTAGTCCCTTTCCTGTCTTTTAAAAAAGTTACATAAAGACACAGCTTGGGAGTTAAAGCTAGGGAGCTTTTACAGAAGGGTCATGACACGAAAGTGGTCTAGCAGGATGGTTGGGAAGGCCCTTCTGGATCCAGCACTACAGATCTGCACTCCTTTCCACAGCCTACTTTTTGACATTTGAGCAGCCTGTCTCACCCATCACCAAGAATTGTTTCAAGAAAATTTGCTTAGTTCCACAGAATGGGTTCCAACCTGAGGGCAGAAGTGGATCCTTTGGCCAAAGCCGCCACCTCCTTACAGTTAAGAAAACCATAGTTACTCAGGGTCTTAATGCCAAACATAAAACTTTATTACATTTCTAGTTGTGTCCCTTTGTGATACAGTCAGAATCAAGGACTGGACAGAACAGCTCTACATCCTTGGGGGTTTTCACCCCACATGATGAGGTGGCTTTTACCCCCACCCCTGTACCAGCTGAAGGCACTTGGACTACATGGAAAGCAGTAGCTGGCTTGGAGAGGGGGTTCTAGGCCATAAACCTCCCAGCCTACTGAGTTTGGAACAGAGTGAACTTGTGTTAGAAGGGAAGGTCTCTGGGTGCCAGGGTGGGCTTCAGTGTTTCTCAGACTAGCAAGGGGACCATCTCTTCACCCAGACTGCTTCCCTGCCACACTCAAGATCCTACAAACTACTTCACTTGCTGTCCTCCCCCTCTCAACTTTCTATGAGTGTCAAAGCCGAGACAGGAGGAGGTCCCTCCATATCAGATTTTTAACGCCTCAGAAGGCCAGGCACCTCAGGGTGCCAGCCAGGGTAGATGCCATTCCATTAGCCCCCCACCCACACTGAATGACCTTTGCTCAGTGTCTTTCCCCCTAGCCCAGATAAATAGTCTATACATGTTACTGGAATATGGGGTTGGAACAGAAAGAGCCCAGGGCACAGATCTCTTCCAGCTTCAGAGCTAAGAGATGTCAAGCCTAAAGAGTGCAGACAGGGCAAGTGTCTATGAGTACTAGAGCTGGGGGCAAAGCCTCTGGCTTTAGTGAATCCAGGAGGGGAGCAGCTCCAGCTACCTAGCCGAGAACCCTGTGGCCGAGGTGGGAGGGGAGCCTCTTCACCTTGCAGCTCCTGTGTTCACAAGCTCCCCACTCCCCACACCCACACACTAAGAGTTTGGTGCATCCTCATCATGGGTAAAGGGGAGGAGATACAACTTCAGTCTAGTCCTTGCCAAACTCACTGAGGGCAAGAGCTGCCAGTAATTCCAGCACTCTTAATTCTCACATAATACAGCCAGAGGCCCTCCCGTCAGACGGAGAGGAAACTCAACAGATTATCTGAGGGGAGAAGAGACCTAGGGGCCAGCCCAATAGTTAAGAGTGAGACCCAGGCCAGGAAAGGGGAAGTCCTTCTCTCTCTCCTCTCTCTCTCTCTCTCTCTCTTTCCCCTCCCTCCCCCCCCCCTCAGTCTCGATTCCCCATCAGCTGGAGCACAAAGGTGAAGATGTAGACTATATCTGTGTAGATCTGCAGGGCGCCTGTGATGTAGTCCTCCGGGCTGATGGTGTGCTTCCTGTTCCCCAGGACCAGCTGTGTGTCGTAAGCCAGGAACTGCAGGGAAACCAGACATGAGTGCCTAGGAGCTCAGTGCCAAGAGTTCGTTTTTGGTCAGCACGCTGTCCTGAGAGCACCTGTGCCATCCATACAGCTTCCTGATGGAATTGCTAAGGAGTAGTGTGGTACATGGTCTCTGCCCTTGAGTAGTTTACTTGTCTATCAAAGACCGACACACAGTCGTCATTCAGCAGGCAGTGTGAATAAAAAACAACAGGGATGCCAGAAACTTCTAAAACCTCTAAACAGGAAGAAGACCCATGACCCCTCCCCGCCTCCCAAGCTCCCAAAGTTCCGTCTCTACCCTCAATTCCATCTCTACCCTCTCAGTTCCCCCTCCCAGAACAGGGAACAAACTTACCATAGTGAAACAGATGGCCCCCAGAGCGGCATAGACCATGTGGAGCCAGTAAATCTGTGAAATAGCACAGTGTGGTGTCAGGAAGTCAAGCAAAGCATGCCCAAAGCAGGCCCTGCAACTCCAGCTTCCAAGCAGGGAGCTCAGGGAAGCTACCTCTCCAGGTTCCCCTATCCTGCCTCTCTGGATCCTGGGAGAAACTGAAAATGTGATTGATCTGTCAGAGAAAGCAGTGGTTGTCCCACAGCCCACCTTGGGGACAGTTTAGAGAAGCCCCTCAGCAACCTTGAGTTGCCCGCTACCCTGCTCAGCACCGCTGCCAAGTGCCTATGCACAGACCAGGACCAGCCATGGTGAGGCAGGCAGCACCTCTCCTGATCCTTTCCCTCAGCCAACTGGTAACAGCCATCCCAAGGCCCCTTACATCCAGGCCTGACTGACCAGGAATTCAGGTTTGCCTCACAGAACCTGATCTAACCTACAGCTAACCTACCACTTCCTGTAGGAAGTGACTGGTGCTATCCAGGACCGTGGGGGCTGTGGTTTACCATCTGCCTGAGAGAGAAATCCAGTATACCCTAACCAAAAAAGGATGGTATCGTGATGGTGTCTGCACTAGCCAACGGAGAGGTGTGGGAAGCAGGGCCCACCCCTGCTCCACAGAAGTCTGCTGACAGGGTTCACCACCTGCCCTTGTGGCAGTCACTCACATATTTGAACAATAGCACAATGCTAGTGACAATCCCGGTCACCATCAACACAATTCCCAGGACGCAGAAGAGGCCTGTACAGGAGGTGAAGTCCACCTAGCAGAGAGGGAGAAGGGGGCCCCTGTCATCCTTAGCATCCCAGAGGCCTGCCCCTGCCTGCCCCCAGGTAGGGAGTCCCAGTGCTGGTCCTCGGGAGCATGGCGGTGACAGTGACAAGCTAAGGACACATACAGGAAGCAGCTTGGCAAGGACGGAGCACGGGAGCAGGAGATTAGACTAGGGAAACGTCTGGCCTGCAAGGGTCTGGGCCATCCCATGCCTGCCCAAATCCAAAGGTGTGTGTATGTAAGAGGGCAGGGTGGCCAGGGAAGAGCCTTCCCTATCCTCACCTTAGTCTGAAAGCAGAAGATGGTGACAGAAATGGACACCACAGCAGTGATGATCATAGCTATGATGACGGCTCTGGTTTGGTACATGCTGGGGAGAAGGAAGAAGTTGAGATGGGCAGGGGCATAAGCCAGACTTGCTGTGTTCAGGATTGTGCCAGCAGTCCATCCAGCCCTCTGCAACACTCCCTCACCAAGAGATAGAAAACTGTCCCTGAACGTACCTGGAAATGGCGCCTGTCATAAAGCCCAAAGCCAAAGTCTGAGGGAAGGAGAGAAACAAGGCAAACAGTTAAGAACAGCCCAGGCTACAGTATGGCTCAGCACATGCCAGGCTCTTAAGTTCCAGCCCCAACACTGTGGCCACCGCGGCCCTGCCAGGGCAGGGGGTAGATGTAACTGTATTGGAAAGAACAGCCACGGAGGAGAACAAGAGCAGGGCCAGGTAAGGCAAGGAGACAGCCAGGAACATTTTTCCACAAGGGTGTCCCCAACCCTTCTCTGGGAGAAGCCTCCCATTCCCCTTCTAGACTTACAAAGAGGATCAGCAAAATGATGTTCCATGGGAACCGGCGCCTGAAGAGAGAGAGAGACCCTGGTTACCTGCCTTGGGCCCATCAAGTCTTAGCCATTCCTTCAGCAGAAGGAAGCCCCTGGCTTCTGTTCCCAAGGAATACGCCTTTCCCTTAGGGAGGGTCCTCAGGTGTTTACACAAGGACAACCTGGGACAGACCTGCCCTGTGGAGCCAGCAAGGCCTGGACTTATGTGCAGCTCTCGTGACCCCTGTGTGACCGTGACAACGTTCCTCGGCCTCTCTGAACCTTAAGTTCTTTCTGCTAGGGATCTGGTAACTTTCCCTGGCGTGCCTGCGCATGCACACCCGTCAGCGCATGTGTGGAGGTCAGAGGACAGCTTGTGGGAAACATTTTCTTTCCAATGTGTGAGTGTCAGGCCTCAAACCCAAACCAACAGGCTTGGTGGAAAGTACCTTTACCTGTCGAGCTGTCTTGCTACCTCCTCCCTTTTTGTTTTTTCTTTTCTGTTTGTTAAGTGCTCAGAATGCTACATATCCTGTATACACAAGTCTTACATATCTTGTAAGACTGACAGATAGCTAGGTAGGCAACGCACATTGCTTCGTACCACAGCTGGCCTCTTCTCCTTCATCAGTACACCTAAGCCTCTCTCCACTGTCCGAACCCTTTTCCTCTCAAAAATACTCCGTCCCTGTGTCCCTTTCCGCCCTCCTCTCATCTGGGTCTCCAGCACTCACCTGGGTCCCTGGCAGCAGGCAAGGGTCAGGTAGGTGACGATGAAGACAACACTGGGGGAAGAAATGCAACATGGCTATAAGCCAGAACTCCCAAGGCCTGCTCCTAGCCTAACATGGGCAGCACTCAGCAGCCTGGGCTTCTTGACCAAGCTGCTTTCTTTGTAGGAAGCAAGGGCAAGATTCAGCCAGAGCACTGAGAAGCCTAGAGCAGGGTCTGGACCAGGAAGTGCAGGGTGATCACAGACACTGGGTAAGAGAATCTGGATAGTGCCATGAAATTGACATGTCACCACTATGGTCTATCTTCTGGTCCCATCCTGTCCCAGCATTCCCTGGTGTTACTCCTCCTCGGGTAGACCCCCCCGCCCCTGCTACCATAGCCTGCTGGGAGACTTGCAGTTTCTGGGAAGCCCTCTCTTCTAGGGCATATTACTGTCTGGCCTGAACCAAGCTGGTCAGCTGCCCCTGTCCCCGCCTCCCGGCCCCGCAGCAGCACACACTCACTAGGACATGTAGTACACAGCCACGTTCCTCCTCACGAACAGGCTGACCGGCTCCCTGTAAAACAGGGTACCAAGACAGGAGTCACACCATGCCCCTCCGTGGCCAGTCTAGCAGGTTAACACAGGCCGGGAAAAGGAGAGAGACTCACACAAAGGTGAAGATAGCAATGATGGCCACGGTGATGAGCAGCTGGACGGAAATGATGGAATAGACCTAGAACAGAGCCGGGGAATATAGCTCACATTTCATACTATCCTCTTGCTGAAGTCAGTGCCAAGGGCCAACCTACCCCACCCCCATTTTGTTAGTGGTACAAAGGGCCTCCTTTTAGTTGGGAAGGCTCTGTCTTGAGAGATGGCTCAGTGACTAAGAACATTATCTGCTCCTCCAGAGGTCCTGAGTTCAATTTCCAGCAACCACATAGTGGCTTTGCAACCATCTATACTGAGATCTGGTGCCCTCTTCTGGCACACATGTGTACATGCAGATAGAGCACTCATACATTAAAAAAAAAAAAAAAAAAGGCCTATTATTCCTCATGGGCCTGAGTTCAGTTCCCAGCAACTTCATCAGGAATCTCACAACTACCTGTGACCCTAGCTCCAAGGGATCTGGTGCTCTCTTCCGGACTCCTTGGATACTGTGAGTGCACATACACACACATACACATTAACTAAAAATAAAATCAGTCTTGAAAAGTTAAAGAATGACTGCAATTTACAAGGTTCCACCCTTTGAGCCCTCAGAGAGTCTTCCCTGACTGCAGCCTGACCTAGACGAGACCCCACTGCCCACCTCTGGCTGTTTCTTGGCCACTTTCCACCTACCCAGCATCCAGCTTATAGTCAGTCTAGAATTTACCGCTCTCCCGTCCTGCCTGCTCCTGTACTGATAGCAGTTTTCTGTGACAGGTTGAGAGAAGGGATACGCGGTGGTTTAGACGCAGCGTGCTCCATTCCTCTCCCAGTAGCTTGCTGTCTAACAGAGCAGTGGGCAGGGAGGGCCAGTGCAGAGTCCAAGTAGACCTTCCCAGTCATCCCAAAACAAAGGCAAGGCAGAGAGGATCACAAAGACTGGGGTCCCCTTGGGAGGGCGGGCACAGAATCACAAGGAGGCAGGCAGCCCATATCTCACCTTTCGGATGAATTTATGTCGGACTTTCCGGTCATCCCATTCTCCAGGTCCAAAGTTGTCACTTACTGCTCTCTCCTCCCCACCATAGTCATGGCCTAGGACCAGAGACAGACCACATCAAACCAACTAGGGACTTCACCTCAAAGTACCCCTGACCCTGTCTCAAACAAAGGCTCAGGTCTTTGTGTGTCCAAAAGACACACTTGACACACTTGTAACTCAGATTCTTATCAGCCTAGGGTTCTGTAGGTACCCTCAGAGTGACACCAACCAGGCTTAGGTGAGAAAGAGCTGTCCTAAAGAGCCAGCATCTCCTGCAGGCTCTGTGCCCTGCCCGCCTCATTGGAGGCAGGATAGTGGCATTACCATCTAGGGAAGCAGCTGGCAGAGCAGTGGCCTTGGGAATAGAGGACCAGAGAAAAAGAGGGGAGAAGTGCACAGGAAGTTGGTACAGGAGGGCAGGGGCTATGGTCTACAGCAGGCTTCACAATCCATATGTAACTGTCACCTATAAGTGATATCTTAAGATCTGCCTCAGAACACGTGACCAGATAGGAGTTGGCCATACACTTGCTGGCTCTGGGACACTGGGGCTACTGCAAGCCACCAACATTCCATGGATGCCTCTTTGGGAACTGCTTCCAAAAATCTACCCAGAAGGAGTTGGGGTACAGTTCATGGGCAGAACATAGGCTTAGCATGAAATGACCCTGAGTTCAGTCTCCCATACCAAAGAGAAATGCAAAATCCACCTCCTCCCAGGAGGGGATAAGTTAGCCCCTTACTATAGACTAACCTCACCTTCACTGACCAACCTGTTGGCAAAAATCAGACTGTATATAAAGGTTGGAGATGTGTCAGCCCTAAGATAGTTAAAAAAAAAAAAAAAAAAAAAAAAAAAAAAAAG